TGATGTTCCATTAGTAATAAGAAAAAATATGTGGTACATGCATGATGGTACATCAGCGCATTTCAGTGTAGCAGTTCGTAATTATTTAGAAACTTTTTATCCAAATCGTTGGATTTGCCGCGGTGGGCCCCAAGAATGGCCACCAAGGTCCCCAGACCTCAACAGTTTAGATTTCTTTTTGTGGGGCTATCTTGAGACACTAGTGTACAAAAGTCCCATTAAAACTGTAGAGGAATTAACAGAAAGAATAGTTGCAGCTTGTGATAGAATAAAAAACACTCCAGGGATATTTCGAGTTTGCAATTTCATGAGAAGGAGGGCGGAAGCATGCATACTAAGTGAAGAGGGCCATTTTCAACAATTTTTGGAATCATTTCGTTGGTTTTTATGTTATGTTTATGTTGTCAGTTGTTGTTGTTCATTACGCCTAATGTGTTTAATTTTTCCAATTATATTAATAATAATGCAAGTTAGACAGTAGAACGGTTTTTATTTTTTCACTCAAAAATGGCGCATCGAAGGAAAACAAGTCATGAAAGATCATTTGTTTTAAATTGAAAGAGGAATTCAAAAATAATTTATATTCGGCAAAAAACCATTAACGTACCATTTTGTCTTAAAAAATATCAAAGTCAATATCCGTACGCACGCCACTGTTAAGGCTAAACATTATTTTTGCATTGAAACATATGCAACTTTATTAGCTTCCACTACGTACTAAATGTCAGTAAAATATCTGAAGTGGTTTTGAAAATATTAATAAATTTCTTTTTTTTCCTAAAACTTCCAGGCCCCAAGTTTTTGTTAAGCAAACATTTTTGGACCATAATTTATAAAGTAAACTAATGTTAGCTTTTCATGTAGATTTACACCCTTAAATATTTGCATATCATTAAGGAACACCCTGCATAATCAAAGTAAAAAAAAAGAAAAGAAAAAAATGATAAGATATTGAGATGATTGTTAAAATGATTTGATACAGCTAGGCGTCTAATGAGTCGATCTAGTGGACAGACTGTAGTAGAATAAACAAACTTGACTGGGTTAGAAAGATCGACCTTAAGGGCCGTATCGTCAGTCGTTCCTACAATTATGGCCTCCTTCATTTTCATAGCTTTCTACTATTCCGTCTCAAAGCTCTGTTTTCAGATTATGTAACAAATATCTATTTGTATCAAGTTTTTCATGCTTTTGATTTATATCATTTGTTATATAGTCTGAACTTTCCTACAATTCAAGAAGAAAACAGCCTGACGATAGGCGAGCGCTAACGCTGACACTGAGCAGTAGAAATCTAGAAATATCCCAGCCTTTCTAAAGGAAAGAAAAGGGAAGTAGACCATAAAGGCGTCCTACAATTATTGTAGGAGCGGCTGATGATACAGCACTTAGCTAAGCTGAAGAATTCCTCTACTCTACTCAAGGTGGCTCTTCTAACCGAAAATGTCAACTTGGTATTTCGGAATTCTTGATGATTTGACCCATAGACCATTATATATCAAGTTATTGGTAAATTAAAAACTTCAGATATGAAAAGTCCATCAAAGTTCTTCACTAAGTTCTAAAAAGTTAGATAATTACATTTTGTGGCTGGTTATCAGAAACAAAAAACAATATTGGCCATGAGGCATGATACATTTCACCGAATTGTTCGAATATCGTGGCAGGATACGATTAGAGGTCGCGCAGTTGTTCCACCATAAAGGGCGCTAGAGCAGTATTATGGGTTGTTAGGCCAGAAAAATTAGTTCTAAACATGTGCTGACCATAAAAGTAGTTGAAAAAAAACAGGGCTTTTCGCACGGTAGTCAATATTCTCTAAATGCTTGTGAAATAATAAGCGTAATGTAAGTATATTTACATCTTCAAAGAATATATATAGATTTCTGTATAGCAAGGATAAAAAACAATAATCTAGTTTGACTGGGCTGATACAAACCTAAATGTTGGTTTTTGTAGCTAATCTCAATTAAAATGTTGATATATCGCTAAAAATATGTCATTTTTTAAATTATTTCTCTGACGTAAGTGGTATATATTAGCTTTGATCCATGCTACAAGCTGCAAATCCTTCTTTTGGGCTCTCCAAATTTGTTTATTGGTCGCAAATTCTGTGTCCCGCACGGGAATTATGTAACAAACCCATAAAACGTCAAAAAAACCTATAAAATGCCATCTTGCAGACTAGATAGTTTTTAGGGTGCAAACAGTAATTCCACGCTTGCTCACTAGGATCGTTGTGAGCGTCCATCTATGGAGGAATGACTCAACTACACGCATTGCTGATTGCATATGTTTTGTGAAGCTGATTAGTCTGTAGTTTTCATCTCTGAGAAGAAAGTTGGTTGAATAGCAAGATCGCTTCTGGATGATTATGTGCATAGGACTGCATGTCAGATGTGCCCGACGGGTTATTTTTTCTCAAGACATGTTATGTTCAAAGTTATAAATTACGATCTTTGAAAACTTTGAAGAGAATTACGAGAAATCACCACCGCGACCGCGTTGTGTGTAATTATGTTAGCATGTATATGACTTGTAGTTCGACAGTGTACATAGAATATAATTATTTCTTATCTCTCTCATTTTTAAATTCAGCAAACTTGCATATGCAATTTCCAGAATGGATAAGAAAAAGTGGATGCGCAACTAATTTCTAGCTTTGAATCTCAAGTAAGTGTATTTGAAGAATCCAATGGAATTATCATCAACACATAGTATTAGCACACAAATCCTCACTATGCACCTATGCATTGACTTTTCCTTCTACCCATAATACGCAACTTATAGCTTAGACCTCCAGTAATGCCATCTCTGAAGCAGATTTTACATAACATCAGAGCCAAACATTGATAACTGAAGCATCATGACGGTTAGGTAACATGTACAACTACAAAACGAGTTCATAACGTGTCCCTCAGATAGTGCTAAGTTAACAACAATAATGCAATAAAAAAAAGCAATACAATGTAAAAAAAAATCGACATAAAGTCACTTTTGAAGATACGTAATACCCGTGCCGGGCCAAATGAAAAAAGATGGGTTTTGTTGCACAGACAGGTGATACATGAAGCACCTCTTGATTTGATATGAGAACCAGGGGCCCATCTTTGATTTCCGCCGGCTGGTAGTAAAATCGCGCCTTAGGGACGCGAATACTTCAGATTGTTTTTAAATTGATGAGAACGACCCAAATCAAGTACTAATTGGAAAATATTGTGTCAACAGCAGCAAATATAATGACGGTACAGGGAAGAAGTTACTTCTATTCAGTCTAAATAGAAATACATTTGATTGTACATATAATTGGATCTGGCTTTTTATTCGTATAACTTTGATGTAAAAGGAAACAGGGAAACAGACATCTTGTTCAACGCACTTGTTAGTAGCTGCCGACGAAATTTTCCTAAGCAGTTACTACTGATTATCAGATGTAACTTTATCATACCTAAGTCTCAATCTTCTCGGCGTGGTACTATGAAAGCTTACTTTGAGCTTGACTTTAACATGTGGATCACTCCCGGTAACTGGCAGATTTGAGAAACGTGGTGCAACCGGGAATTAACTGCGGATAAATGCTAATGGCCTAACACAGTGGTCGTCAACCTTTTCAGTGAGCTGAGTTACTTTAATAATTTTGGAATAAACAGTGAGCTACCTAGTCGTAATCAATGTTAGCCATCTCAAGTAAAATTATACACAGTTGTATGCGACATACATGTATTCACTTTACTAATACTAATACATACTAATAAACTTAAATAAACTAATATCTAATAGATACTATATAACTAGATCCATTCATACAAATCGTAGGTGTTTGAAAAATAAACAAAACTTTTCGTTAGCTACAATGGAATGTCACATACGATTTAATAAAGGTAACTAAAAATAAAAAAAAGCAACGCACTATTTTAGACAAAAATATGTCCACATAAAAAATGCCTGTTCAATGAGAAGCCTGAGGCTCAGACTCACTGACATTTTTTTGAATGTTTGGAGTATAATTTGATACCGCCATTCGAATACAATTTTCCAAATGTTCATCTGTAAGCCGATTACGGTATTTGTTTTTAATAAACTTCATATTTGAAAAAAAAAGATTCACACAGACAGGTTGAACTAAATAGCGCTTTCACTTTCAAGGCAACACGACATAAAACTGAATATTTATCTTTAATTTCTGAAGGCCAGATACATTTTGTATTTGAGACTGATGATTTTAAAGTCAGATCATTTTGAAACGCAATCACTTCCATTTTCTTAGCAGCGATGTCTTCGCTTAAATTCTGCGTAACAGAAGTTGCAAACCGTTGGATATCAATTTTCATGAAGGGTGAAACAACAAATGCGCCACTATAGCAATTTCGTTGAAATCCTTGAAACGATTTTTGAAGTTATCTTTCAAGTTAAAAACTATTTCTACATGATATTGGTTCTAATGGACTTTGAAATATTTTTTTCTGAAAGAGGAAAATGCCTGGTATCTCCATCGATTAAGGTTTGTTCCCAAAACTCAAGCTTTTTGATAAACGCTTTTATATCAGAAATAATTTCTGCTAGTTATTCGTCTCTCTCCTGATGCCGCAAATTAAGTTCATTTAATTTTTCTCTAAAATGATGTTCTTGACTTTGTTGATGGAAATGATTGCATCCTTTCACAAAGCAATATTTACTAACCTGAATCATTCCGTAAATAATTTATTTGTAATTACCTGATTATATACAGGGATATCTAAATATCACTGTCGTTGTAATGTGTACGAGGGAGAACCGCGAGTCCCGTTTTTTTTTTCAGCTTTTAAACCCAGTTCATTGATAAAGACGTTAGATAACATGAACCTCAGTTTCTGCATCTTCCCGATTGTCGACAATATCGAAAGTACTTATTTTTGTGTTGCTTTTATTAATCGAAAATCATTCCATTGCTTTCATATCGTCAAACAATGTAACCCCGGAATGTGTCAGGCAATTTACTTGACTGCAATTTTTTGGTTTCAGGTCGAAGTGACAATGAAGGTGTGGAGGTGAGGAGTGGTAGAAGTCGTGCTGCGAGGTCCAGAGACGACCATAGGCGTCACACTTTGGGGGCCGACCAGCAATATCATCCGTTGTCAGGGCAAGGAGGACCTCTGTCTAGGACCATGGATTTGGAGGTAACAAAATAAAATATATCTGAATTTTAGGCTAAACTAAATATGTTTGCTATCTGTTTCTGAGGAATTATAGACAGTGCTGTCTCGTGCTCTTTAATAACTCATCAATACGGTATAGATCCAGCGTTAAAGGCAAACGGAAAATCAACCAATTCCGCTGATAGATGGCTGTCTTATTTAGATATACCTTATATCCTGAATATAGGATAGTTGCTCAGTTTTAGTTCATACTCCTACGTGAGACTAAGCCTAGGCCATACTGATAACTTGCCAAAAAGCACGAATCGGCTGTCCATAGTTGGACGTCTGTGGTTGGATGCGTGAAAGCCATATAACTAGTTAAAATGATTTCTTTCTGATATCTGATTTCCCTCAGCTTAACCAGAACCTGTATGCCACTATTTTGCGGTACTTCAAATGCAAGTTCATGAGAACAGAATGAATCGTAAAACTCATGAGTCGTACCCCAACAAATTAGCTTCTACGGTCCTACGCATGCGCTTCCACGATTTAATGAAGTTTTAAGATCACATATTCGAAAAGGAGCTAGTACCTCCATAAGGGAGAGCTTTTTTGTATTCCATTATGACTCCGACAGATAGCACACATATTATGTGGTACTCTGCAGAGGATAGAACGTTTCCATGGGATCCGACTTTCCAGGGCCAGCCTAGGGGTTACCCACCCCCCTCCAATGCAATGCTCTTTGACGATGACCCCGGCATCATGTCGGAAGTAGAAACAAGCTCAACTGGTTTCAGACGAGGCGGGAAGCAAAGGAGTTCCCTGCCTGTCGTTAGAACTCCCAGCAAAACTTTAGAAAGACCATTAGGTAAGAAACTTCCGTTATGTGTCAGAATCAAAACTGCAGATCTGAATTATAGCTGACTTTTATGTAAACGTTACGTAAATTAGCGTAAAGTCATAGAAACTTTATGTAAATTTTATGTAAAATATACGTAAAGTTCATGTATCTGAAAATCTGAATTACATCTGACTTATGTAAATGTTACGTAAACTTACGTGAAGTTCATGGAAATACTATGTATTCATCCAAAGCCATGTATATTTTATGTAAAATGTACGTAAAGCTTGTGTAAAAATCTATTTAAAGCTCATTCAAGATCCATTTTTTATGGTGTATGCAAACTTTAAGCGAACCCCATGACTTACTAATTTCAAAATAATCGTACTCTAATCTTACTTGTTGTAGGCTTAGTGTTCCTCCAGTACCGAAACGAAACGAAACGTGCTCTTCTACCAAACGAAATAACCTCAATAGACACTGTGAAGGCCCTTTTTGTGAGGTCGTTCCCCAAGCAGCTCACCATGGAGTATATGGACTCACCAAACGTTAAGATCTACATACACGATTCTTCTAAGGATATGTTTTACGAACTTGAGGATCTCAGGTAAGAATCTATGGGATTTTACCTTAGTAGTGTCCACGGATGGTTTTAATGTAAAATTTCTAACTACTGTAACGTCAGAAGAAAGGAGGTATGGTACACAACCGTCTTGAATACTAGAGATGGAGCTGAGATTTATAGGATAAGGTCAAAAACAAAGATCTCTATAAATCAAAGCATATTATCCACATTTATTTCAAGCGAATTTAGAATTCGTATTAGGCACTAGACTGATAACTCACAGGTGGTGAGCAACTACCGTTTTGCTGATATTTGCCTAAACCGCTGCAACCCGCACTTCACTAGCAGGGCCTGTGGGTTGCAAGCTCATAAGGTGCTAAATGTTATTGCGTAACAATGGGCAGATTCAATGCTATTCAATTCTTGATTCCGATGTGCGTATAATTATTTCATCCTTTAGCCGAGAAGGAGTGGACAGAGTCAGAAAAGTAGATACCATTTCTGAAGCAGTGTTGGAGTTTCAACATAGACAACACGTAAAACTGGTTAAGGTTACCGATAGCTAGTATGAAGTATGAGTCTTGTGAAAGTCGCAGCCTTTCGTAAGAAATCTCATAAAAAGGATTGCAACCTGACAGACATGGTGCGGCGTAGTTGCCACTGTTCAAAATTGTCCCAAGCAAGAACGAGCTGGAATTATACAGGGTGCTCGTTTGAAAACTTTCCACCAGGGATTTATCGAAAACCACTGATTAAAAGAAAAAACGCCGAGACACTTCAAAATATTTGTCAAGGGGGACAACTTTTTAACCTCAAACTACCTCTCACCCTCTGCCCCCCAGGGTCATCCACTTAAATTTTTTTAGAAAACAAGTAATAGCTTGTTTGAAAGGCCTTTCGAAGTCCGTTATTTTGATGTTGATTTTTTGAAATCGATCGATTCGTTTTCAAGAAAATTAGAAAAATCTTTATTCATGTTAATTTGTTCAAATAGAAACCAAAAACACACGAAAATATTACTTTTTATTTCAATAAGTGTTCAAAATGTTGCCCGTTATTGGCCAAACAGTGATATAGGCCATGTTCAAATTCCTGATGGACATTTTCAAAAACATGTTGTGGGATATCAAGGCAGCCTTCGATGATGCGTTGACGCAGTTCATCGAAACCTTCAGGTTGGGCAGTAAGCACAATAGATTTCAAATGGCCCCATAGAAAAAAGTCTAATAGCGTCAAATCATTAGATCTAGCAGGCCAATCTATAGGCCCTCGTCGCCCTATCTATTTATCTGAAAACTCATCGTCTAGCCATTGCCGGAACGGAAGAACAGTGGGGAGGAGCGCGGAAAAAAATTCGGGTTGTTATTTGATTGTTGCCACGTCTAATCTTCCGAATTGCTGTTTGTGTTAGTAGTTTCCGTTTTAAATTATAGATAGTAGATTGTAGATTTGTGTGTGTGTTTTTGTTTTCTATCTGAACAACTTAAGATAAATAAAGATTTTTCTTATTTTCTCGAAAACGAATAAACTGATTGTGAAAAATTAAACGTCAAAATAAAAGACTATTAAAGACCTTTCAAACAAACTGTTTATCGATACCCCTTGTCATTGAAAATTTTTAAGGGAATGACTCTGGCGGGGCCGAGGGTTGGAGGCGGTGAAGTAGTTTTTAGTTGGAAAGTTGTCCCCCTTGACAAACCTTTGGACGTGTCTCTGCGTTTTTTCTTTTAATCAGTAGTTTTCGATAAATCTGTGGTGGGAAGTTTTCAAACGAACACCCTATGTATATAAGTTGGGACGTGGTCATTGCCGTCTAGACCAGTTAGGTGAAAAATTAAAGTTTCCGCCTTTTGTTGGGTACTTCGACAAAATTTAAGCAAGGAGGACTCTTTATACTTTTTTTATTCTCTCTAGCTTTCACTGGTCTTTTCCATCATCATCAGGAGCTGCAATTACATTGATAACAGTAGCAACAATAGTGTGAAATGAATTTAAATTAACTTACAGTAGTATGTGAGGATGTTGCTAATTGTCGTTTACGTTAAGGATGAGGGAAACACCCAGTAACATGGTGAAAGCTGGATAAATGGTACAATGGTCAAAATTACGAGTATATAAACTACACATAGATGTATGACAAGAACAAGTTAAAAACAGATTAAAAAATATTTAAAACGAAAGTTAAGCATTACATCGTGAAGCCACTTGATGATTGCACAAAATGGTGGGCATGGAATAATGAGTAAGATGAATCTTCTGACAGATGGCCGAAGGCTAGCAGTATCTGTGTAGAATGATGGAACGAAAATTATTTTGTGGGCGTGTGCTAGGTTGCTAAATCACTTCAGATGGTGTGATTTTCAATATATGTTAAATTTTGTCGAAGTACTCAAGAAAAGGCGGAAGCTTTAGTTTTTCACCTATATATATATATATATATATATATATATGCATACTATTTATAGACTTAGTTGTTTGCCCGTATTCAAATGTATCCTGCCATTAGGGGAAAGTGAAGTTATTGTTATTGCCTTTGAGTGTAGACAATATTTACTATATATATCAAATGACTCACTGACAAAGATATACACCTATTAATCAATTTACTTTCTTATCTGTTTCCTACGGAATCTCTTCCGCGCTTCGCTGTAGCCACTTTTCCAAATATTCCCTAGCATGTGGAGGACGTAGTGGTGCAACTATTTTTGATGCCGTCTATAAACATTATTTATTACTATCATTAATATTATTTTTCATTTAATTCCCTTGCTTGTTTCAGATCGCACCTCCGCGAAATCCGCGACCGTTCCGTCTTACGCCTCTTCGAGTCCGCAGACGTGTCTGGTGGGTTGCCTATCGCCGGCATCGGCATTTCGGCTGCGTGCGTGGGCGGCATCGGCATTCTGCCGCCCCCGAATGCCGCGCCGCCCGTCGCGTCGCAACCGCCCCATTTCGATGATCCCAGTTATTTCTCGGAACCGGAGTTCGACTCGGAGTACCAGCATCAGCATATACATAAAACTAAGGTTAGTAGGAGCAAAACTCTTAACGATTTGGGGATATTCCAGTCGTTATTGTGTGTTGGAAGCGCGAAGGACTTTACCGCATGGGCTATCATGTATGGTACTCTGTATCTATGCATGAAGATTTAGAGTAAACGTTTCTGCTATTTTTTCGTTTCATGGAGACACAGTTGATACTTTCGATTGATCCTCGGCAAACTTAGCTTCCTGTGCCCAATGACAAGAAATAAATCACAAAGAAACAAGTATTGAAAATGTATAAAAATTTATTCTTAATACAAACACTTACATTGAAACATTACCTTCAACATATTAGGTATAAAAACTTGGACTTAGGCACCTTACTCCAATAAGGAGTTTCAATAAATAATATAATACTATAAGTAAAGACATTCCCTATGCAATGTCGTATAGAATACTGCAATAATCGAAGCAAGAGTATTGGGTTCTAGTAACTTCTGATATGGTACAAGACAGAACGAAGGTAAAATTGCTATGTGCTTACATCAATAGATCTTAAAGTCAGGCTGCAGCTGTTATAGAAATTACAATTGCTGCTGCCGTCAGTTGTGATTCCCATATATACAGTTTTTGATTTGACTTATTAAATTATATAATGAGGCATTAAATGGAAATACGTTTTCTGTCATTTTACACGTTTTTTGAACGTCATCGTTCTTTGGTTGTTATTAAACCTTGTATGATGGTCTGTAGCGTTACATACAATTATTGAGCTCTTTAGGTCCTTTTCAAAAACTTAGGTTGAATTTTTTAAATTTTGTTTGCAGCCTTACCCAACAAATATAAAAGAGCTAGCTTTAAATTCTGTAACCACGTTAAATTAAAGTATGTTTGTGAGTAAGATCCGCTACTGTGGTGATTTGGTAGAAAAGTTAACAAAATAACAGTTCGACAAGAAAGTTAAAAATGTGTGGATAGTCATAGATATAATTCTTCTTGGTTTGGGTACGACACTTGAAACTCGTGACGGGAATACTTCTTGAGTGAGTATGGAAGCAATGATCAAGTGGTTAGACACAACAAAACTGAAATCTTTTGAGCAAAATCTAAACAAATTTATGTTACCATTATCCTAGAATGAATCACTACAGACTATGACAAACAGTTGATTAATAACCACAGAAAGATGAGGTTCCAAAAACGTGGCAGACGACAATGAAAAAAGTTTTTTTTTTGTTCAAATACTGTTCGTTTCTCCTCATACTTTTCCTTTCTCAACACTAACCGTCATCAAACTTTATACAACTGATCAACGCTATTCTTACACTAAACAGTCTCTCAGAAGACTTTACATTGTGGCTTGGCAGGTTTGTAGAATGCTCCTGAGTAGAGTTTTTTGGGAACTGTCCTCCAACCGAAGATCAAGGCCCTCTCGAATGGCTCTTCGTCACAGCCATCGCAGATGTTGAGGACTGCTTTCACTTCAGCCTCCGCTGGTTCCCTTTCTTCTTCCGCCTGTTTTTGTTTTTGGGAGATCTCCGAGTTTTGGCCGATACCTAAATGATACATTTTAAATTCAAGAAAAAGAATAACACCGCATGTACAATAATACACAGTAATGCATTTTCCGACGATATGCAAGGTTTGCACATCGTATAACGCATTATGCAGAGGATCCTGACAGCTCACTTTCACTTAAGCTGTCAAAGTGGATGGACAATTAGTAGTATTTTCACTGCAGACGACTGCGCAGCGTCAGCTCAGCACCACGATTGCGAGTGGCAGCGTCTCTCAGCGTGTGCCGAGCTCAGAAATTCGCCCAAAAATGTTACGTTTATTATTATGGAGTTGCGTTGCTATACGGATGTCGGCAAAGTTGGGGTCTTCCTTTTCAGAAACAACTACGCTTGATATAAGAAAGCTAATGTGTGGTGAAACGTGAGCGAACAAGTAAAAAAAATAAATGAAAAAGTACTCACTGTTCAGTTCATCTGAAATTCCAATTACGGCTCTGTCGTAAAATCCGTATTTACATCGTAGTAGTATGTCGTAAACTGTACGCTGGCGCTGGCGTTGTGAATGTGATCGAGGGATAGGACAGGACCGGCTTCGGTTTGGTTCAGGTTTGATTGAGTTTGCGGAGCCCAATATCTCGGTTCTATTAAGACACTGGTGTATATGCTATTAAGAAAATCGGCTTATTTTCTCAAGATATACACGTCGTGTAAAGAGAAACCCCAACTTTGCGGACACCCTGTATATTATTGAATACCGCGCCTTTCAGAAAGGTCTCCCCCTACTTATTTTTTTAAGGAGTCAAGTTAGCAAGGTGAAACTCGTGTTGGTAGAATTAACCAATGAAAACTATATTTTGACATGAAAACAACAGCTGAAAATTTGGGCGCGGTCATTGCCATCGGTAGTGACACATCTATTGATCGACAATCTTTATCGGCACTTGTATTTAATAACCTGAGATATTCAAAATATAATTATATAATGCGTGCGATGCGGGTCTGTGGGCGCATACCTTAACACTCATAAAATTGAACAAATACAGTTGAACACTGATTAGCGTATTCTACCGGAATATTGTCAACAATGTAGTGTATTTCGGCGCCCAAAAAATTATACGAAATGAAATCAGATACCAAGGCGTCATCTATGAGAACTTGTCATAGATATGTTTCAAGTCTCCGCAATAATAAGAAATCTACCTTGAAAAGGCGCTAGCATTGGCACTGTAGCCAACTACCACTCGCTAATATTCGCAGATATAGTTGGGCACAGCGCCATCTATGAGACACTAGCCCTTCCAAAGTAGATTTCTGGTTATAGATGATAGGAGAACCGTAGCCGTGACAAATTCTCATAGATGACACCATGGTATCTCATTTCATCTCGTATATAATCTTCTGGACGCCGACATACAGTACCAGGTATAATGCGTTAATCAATGAATTGAGGTAGAATTACTCAAATCCCTAGTAAATTTACTAGGGTATATCACGTCAAGTTGAACAATTGCTATTAAGTGATAAAGAAGCCCCTTAAACATTTTGATGTATTTTTTATAGTCTATTCTGGTAACTTGGAGAAATAATGAGCAACTAAGCATCAAAAGTGAATAAACTTTATGCCTACATAACTCTTGCATCTTAGGTTTACGGTTATTTTAAAGGATGCTTGAACCTCCCATCGATTTTGTTCGGTAGATAAACTTAGGAGTATATGAAGAATGGGTATAGTGATATTTTTATGAAGCTAGAAAATGTTTTTTATTGTTATTATTACTTCTATAACTTCACTGATCACCTGACGTTACGTACGTTACAGAAATCCATCTCCCAATTAAATATATTTTGGACTATTCCTGGTACTTTATGCCGATATACGTATAATTCTTATGACGGATAGATATGTGAATGATTGATACTAAAGCTTATGGTGGAATCATTCGTACGAGTTATCATCATTGAAACATTTGTTGTCAAAACGCCAAGTGACACAGTTAACAGTGCTGCTGTTGTATCATACAAATATTACTATGATCCATAGAAAGCACATTGATTCCGCATGTTTATTTAATAAATCCCTTTTACTGTAAACTATCACTAAAGAGGGAACGTCATGACCTTGAATATTTATTTTGATATAATGCTCGTAGTAATTGTACTCCTCATCGGTTTTCATTGGAGTGGCAAAGCTCAACGTTTATTCAATTCGGAAAAAAAGAAGTTAAAAAATTCAGCCTCAGCTTATATAGGTACTAGTAAGATTTTTCGAGTGTCCGTGGCGAAATAGCTTGGTTGATAACGTATTTGCATGTCTCGTGGATGCTCGGGTTTGAAGCCCATGACTTAGGTTACCTTTCTTATTTATTCATTCAATCATTTTTAGAATTAAATGAAACCATTATTCAATAATAGCAATAAATCAAATAAGAATAATTTTACTTTACTAACAAAAAGGTCTATTAAATTTTCGATCATGATTTAATTATAATAGTTGTTATCCCGCCATACGCGCCTGTATGGTAAGTAATGAGACCTCAGGTGAGGCTTTTTGTACCTTGGTTTTTGGATGCAAATATTAATTGAACAAAAAAAAAAGAAAAATTAAAAATATAAAGGAAGTCCTGGAGGACAAGCAAAAGATAGTTGTTTTACACTATCCCCTCCAGCTAAGTGGTTTCCAGTAAAAAAAAAACGAAAATAAAGAAAGCCAGCTTGGCAGGTGCTTGGCTATCACAGGAAGGCAACCGAGGGCACGAAGTTCCAGATGTATCTCTATACCCGAAGGTAGAACTCTAAAGTAGAATCCGAAGGTAGAACCCGAAAGTAGAACCTCGAATAATGAGGGTTCACATAAATGGGGAATTGCTCCTCACAGGCGTGAGTCCTACTTAAATTCGTCTCGGATTATCACTGCATATGGTTTCCCTCAGCTCAATGGTTGAGTTTAGTCATGTCTACGGCTAAACCCCAAGAGGGTTGCTCCGACAACAAACTCACTAATGGAGACCGATTTCTATTAAAACCTCCACCACTCGATAGACCGCACCACTGCGTGTGAAACTATTTCACAAAATCGTGTAGCGGGCCGCTGAATTTCGACACGAGAGCACCGGAAATAATAGCACCAAGTCGAGATGGAGAGTAGAGTACGATTTTCTACCACAAAATTATTATACCAGGAGAAGTGTTTTATTATAAAAATAAAATTCGATATTTTTAAGAACTGCTATAAGGTTATTATTCCAAAGAAGAAAAACGTAGTAATAATTTACTTTATTAAGGTATAGTTAATTTGTAGTCGACCATAAAAAAGAAACTGTAAAATAGTTTTTTAAGTATAGCGTAGCTTATGGTTATAATAATAATATTTATCAATTTGCGAAACACGTGATTTGATCGTATTTCATATACATTTTTTATCAAATACATAGGCCTGAATGATAATCATCAAAAAAATATTTAAAACAAAGTATTTTCGCATCTTGCATGAAACATAATTTTTCCAAGAACGATGGTTTTTTGAAAGATTTGTTGGAAAACAAATATCGTATACATTCACAGAAATTTCCCAACTTACCAATCAAATCGAATCATTTCATTAAAAATGCAAATACTAGGCTTCTCCGTCACCGACATCGGTTTTAGTATATAAGCTGACTGAATTTTTACACGTGTTTTCCTCCGAAGTGATTGAGGGTTGCACGTTACGATTCCAAAGGTTCAATACCCTTAAGGAGTACAATTGCTACGCGAAGTCTCGTCTCAAAATATATTCCCTCCTCTTGTAAGTATTATGGGGTAGGTCTGTCTTTTGCGAATTCATGCAGTTTTATTATTTTGATTTTGTACTAGATCGCTCACATTTGCAGAAACGTGTATGAGAAGGTACCCCATTTCACTGCCCCACTGAACGGTTTCCACCTTTTGCAATCTTACTTAACATGGCAAGGATGTCACGGAATTGCTTTTACTTTCGATTTTACATACCTGCTAATCCGTCTAGCAAAGACTGCTCAAAAGTTAGATGAAGCGAGGGGATTGGTGATTCCACAATCGTTCCACCAATGACATACTCGCGTTTGGCCAGCTTCTTCTCGGACGGCTGTGCCTCCATATCGCCGTTACCCCTTTTGAATAGATCGTGGCTCTCTACGCTCATGTCGGGCTGCACGTGGTTGAAGTCACTGTTGATTACTGGAGTATCACCTTATGAAAGAGAAAACGACTTTATGGAATAGATTCACTACTATTTGAAGGTAAGTCTAAGCAATGTAAAACTCCAATATATACGTAGAAACACGATTCGCTTGAAGCAAATCTATTTGTAGTTTGGACAGATGGAAGCAGTAGTCGGCGCTGGTTTATGCTGCCAATCAGGAGTTAACTTTCAAAAAGTGCGTCTTACATGTCATGCATGCCTTTGAATGGCGTTTAACTTTAATCAACCATGGATTAACTAAAGAATGGCGATCAATGGCAGAACGATGTCTAAATTTGCTCCTGCTAGGTGGTGCAGGTGTGGCTGGAAGCGAAACTGTCTAAAGTAGATGGAAAAAGAGAGATTGATAGAATCTATTTTTCACAATTTCATCACGTTACTACTAGTTGGAAAATCGTGTACAATATACAGCCAAAATACAGCTACAGACAGCTACGCGGACAGCCATGGACAGCCAAAAATACAGCCTCACCTGCTGCCATCTTGGAAATCGAAAAATACTTCATACTTTGAACACTATCGGTCCTAACGGATAAGTTATAGATAGCTAAACTGTAAATAAATTATATAACTCTGCATTTTTTGAGAAATGCCAATAAATCGCGAGATTTTATATATATTTTTTTTCAAATAACTGGTACGTCAGTACTACAGATATTACAGATATACGAAATTTAATTTTATTTGCTAAGTAACTGCATTTAATGGTTTACTTAAGTTCTGTATCCACATACCTTTGTAGTGATACATTTTTGAAATACTAACGCATTCTTGAGCTGGCCACTCGGTACACTTTCTTCTAACTCATATTTGAGTTAGATGCAAAAATTACATACAAACCGGGTATATAGTACTTTAACAGTTTGGCATACAAGTGAGGGGAGACACAGCACAAGCTAGTGCTTCTGGGAAAAAGGATAGTCACGAACGTGTATATCAAGAAATTAAATAACCTTCCACCCCCCAAATATTTGAAAAGAGAGCCAGGAAGCGACGAATCAATGCTTATGAGGCGACCGCATTCTCACGGGTGAAATGCTCCACCGCCTCCCTGAGGTCGCAGCGCATGGATCCGTAACTTCATTCTAGTACAATTGCATTCTATGCGGTATGGATTGTTGCCTTTGAGAAGTGATACAAGTTTAGTGCAATTTGGATTGTATTAAAAGTTTCCTTGTTATGGCGCAGGCGCCTGCACATACTTTTACGATGTCGGTAAATCTAAATTGTCCTGTCACTGGCAGCCATGGACAGCCACGGACAGCTACGAGGGACAGCCAATCGCTTGTATACCGGAAAGTCAATCGGCTTACACCTCGCCTTTATACCCAACTTCGTACTCATATCCATGGCACCATCTTGAGAAAACGATCCATTCCATTCTAACTTGATTAAATATGAATAGTGGGATCATTGTTGGATATGTCAAGAGCATTATTGTTATTCGTAGATATTCGGAAGAGTTAAAAAAATGCCGGAAAACTGTTGTCCTTAAAAGTAGAAATATCATGATCGCGTCATGAATTTATACATAAGTATGTGAAAGTGATTGAGAAGTATCAGTCATGACTTGTGTAAGAAATTAAGAGAATACCTACAGTGTTATTTCGTGCATGACAGGATTGTATACAGAGAGGGAGAGATTATAGTTTCTCGACGATAAGGTATCTTTGATTGTGTGATGTAAACAGTTTGCTATGTCAAAAGCTAGTTCAACAGGAGAAGCGAAAGAAGGGACTCGAAAAGTCGTCTTCACGAATGCCTGCGGCTAGAAGTGATAAAGATAACGTTTGAGCGCTTGATGTCCAGAGTTCAAATAGCAGCAACATGACAAATCGTTGTCATAAAGTCAAAACCTCGTATCTCGATTTTTAGCGCTTTTGCGCTGAATACAAAACCTTGTATCAGAATCGAACGATAAACGCGTGCGCTGCGAGCAAGTATTATATACGGCGGCGCATCGAAAACGAAACAGACGCATTTACTGGCAGCTCAGTTTTTTTTGGGAAAACGCTCAGACCCGTCGATTTTGTTTTCGAGGGGGACACAAGTTTGGCAAAAAATCACGTTAATACGTGCAGCTCCCTGGGCGGGGGTGACACCAACCCTAAAATCTTAAATGGAAAGGGGGATCGAGTGATACCTTATTTTAAAGGTCTTTCAATTCCCTTTATAATGATGTAAAATACATGAGCTTCAGTTCAGTAGTTTTGAATATTTATTGATTTAAAGCTTAAAGTAGACTTTAATAGGTAGGTACATCAGATTAGTTTGTATTTCTTACAGAAGAAATTTGACTATAAGAATTTACTTAATGAGTAAAGGCTTTTCTTCACTTCGCCCATGGTTTGTTTATCATTTTGTTGTTGAAAATAGCTATTGGAGCGTTTTTTTGTGGCAAAAAAGTTATTTCTTGAAGAAAGATAAGGAAATATCTCGTACTTATTTTAAATGGGAATTTAGTACATAGTTGGCGATTGGTTTGACCAAACTTTGTTGCTAAAATAACTTGTAACGCTTTATTACATAAATTAACCATGGTATATTCCACAGCAGAAAGAGTTGAAATTATCGAATTATTTTTCGGAAATAATCAGTGCGCTAATAGAACAGCAGACATATTTAATGAGCGACATGAGAACAGTAACGTGCATCGAAAATATGTTCTAGAACATGTAGCTAAATTTCGAGAAACTGGGTCAGTCGCCAATAAAAAACGCAACATTGAAAATCCCTTAAGGAACGAAGCAATAGAAGTGGGGGTTTTAGGGCAAGTTGATGTAGATCCTGCGTTAAGTACCCGTAAATTGGAGACTGTGTGTGATGTTAGTCGACGTACTGTCCAACGGATTCTAAAGGCCCATAGTTTTCATCCGTATAAACTTCACCTGGTAAAAGAACTTAATGAAGACGATTTTGATCGGCGATTACAATTTTGTGAAGATATGAGTGAACGAATTATAAACGATGAACATTTTCTATTCATCACTTGCATTTCCGACGAATGTTCCTTTTTCTTAAATGGCGTAGTAAATCGTCATATTGGTCCGATTCTAATCCCAGAATTTATCATGAGGTTCATACACAGCAGCCACAAAAATTAAATATTTGGGCTGGTACTTTTGACGATCATTTAGTTAGTACTTTTTTTTACCTGGAAATATGACCGGTGAAATGTATTTGGAATTACTGGAAGACGCCATAGATCCTGCATTAACAGCCATAATTGAGAATCAGAATGATCGGCGGTACATTGCGAATAGGTTGATGCTCCAACAGGATGGTGCCCCACCACATTGCGCATTACGTGTTCGACAATATTTAATTTAGACCAGACGTTTCCAGATCGATGGATTGGTAGAAGAGGTGCCATTGAATGGCCCCCAAGATCGCCAGATTTATCACCTTTGGCTTTCTTTCTGTAGGGTCATTTAAAAAGCAAAATCTATGCTACTCAGCCAACATCATTAGAAGACCTGCGACAAAGAATTGTGTATGGGTGCCTTCAAATTACTCCTCAAATATTGCAAAATGCGTGGCAACGTTTTGAGCAAAATCTTTATTAATGCATGGAGAGTCATGGTAGCCAATTTCAACATTTACTTGAATAACGGGCCAGTTCATTCTTCATTTTTAAATTACTTTGCTGCCAAATGTATTGATCTCCACTAATGATGATGTATTAGTTTTATCTAAGCTTTAAATCAATAAATCTTCAAAACTACTGAACTGAAGTACATTAATTTTATATCATTATAAAGGGAATTAAAAGACCTTTAAATGTAAGGTATCACTCGACCCCCCTCTCCATTTAATATTTTGGGGGTGGTGTCACCCCCGCTTAGGGGGCTGCACGTGCTGACGTGATTTTTTGCCAAACTTGTGTCCTTTTCAAAAAAAATTGAACTGAGCTGCCAGTAAATGCGTCTGTTTCGTTTTCGATGCGCCACCCTGTATGCTCGTATCTGAATATAATTGCTGGTGAAATGCGAAAACCACGTATCTACTAGTAGATCAGCTATTGAAGAAAAAAATTGTTTGACGACTCTGGGTCTAGCTACTGCCCAGATTCAGAAGGCTCTTCAGAGAGTGCAGAAAGCTGAAGACCAAAAGAGTACATACACCAAGTGAATAAGCGCCTTCGACGTGAAGCCATTCCAGACCATATTGCAGACAATATACAAACAAACAAGAATAAAAGAGCAAAAAAAAGGTGAACAAGATAAAAACGAATGGAGAAGAAATAAAGCAAAATCACCTCGTAAAGGATTGGCGGAGAATGGGGCATCTAGTGAAGCAGTAATAAAGGGAGCTAGAAAAATGGGGAAAAGGTGCAGTTCAAAAAATGCAATAATTATTCTTGAAACAAGAGATAATGCCGGAACATAACTGATGATCAAAGACAGGAAATTTTCCTTAGGTTTTGAGAAGAAATAGACTGGAAACAGAGACAAACGTTTGTAACTCTCTTCTAAATTTGTAAGTAAAGTTGAAACAATTCACCAAGAAAAAATCGCGAGATTTCTCCCATTTTTACTCCATCTTAAGGTATCCAATGTTGTACTAACTGTATGTAAAAAGATGTTCTTTTCTACACTGGCGCCAGGAGAGTGGTCAGTTTTAGATTGGGTGAAAACGGGTGACAGTTCTTGTTTCGAAAAGGGAAACTTTTACAAACAAGTAAAATATTATAAATAAGCAAAAAATATCTGCAATTCAATCATTTTTTGAGAAGATACCAAAGTTACCTTGACATTATTGTCGACCCCCTACTAGTAAATTGTATTTACAAAATTTGTTTAAGTCATATATGTAGTGAGGTAGGTCTATGAGTTGTACAAACATTTCTAGCAAAAACATATGTATGTACATCACACCTTTTTGAGCAACTTCGAAGATCTTAAATATTATTCATCTATAAGACCAGGAGGAAAAGAAGGAGATCCGATATAAGAGCTCTCAGGTATACCTCACAGGGAATTGAATATTTGTATAAATCGAACTCTGATCATGAATGAACTTCCTTACCAAAAAGAATAAACTTAGCCATTGGTTCGACTAAAAATCTTTATAAGGCTCCTTCTCCAATAAAAGGTGATAAATATGATAACTTGCAAGCACTCAAACCTGTTATTCACCAAGATTACCATGGATTTTATGATTCATTGAGAAAACCTAATTTTTTGTATTATCTGAGTCTATATATGAAATCACATTTTTATATATTCATTAGGAAAATCAAATATTGTCCCAGGGTATTATTATTACCAAATTTTAGTTATTATTTACCAATGTTTAATAACTATTACAAATATTTACTTATGTATAGTGGATGATTAAACCTCGTATCTTGATACAAGTTTCATTAGTTTTGACTAGAAACCTCGTAACTCATCATTTATATTTTTTTCTTCAAAGTTAACGATTATTATTCGTTTTTACCTTAATGTCTAGATCCCGAGTAGACTATTTTCTCAGGTTACCAAGACTTGTTTTTTTTTCCATAAAAACCATCAGTTTCAGAAAGTTTTTCTCTCTCCTGTAAAACTACTACTTTTGAGTTACAAGGTTTTGACTTTTCGACGACGAAATAAAACATTTCCTTTATTTTAAGAAGTAAGGTTGATTCTCACTATACATTCCGTTTCCATTCCATATCAGTTTCGTAAACGTTCCGTACAATGTGATTGTATACACAGTATACCTTACGGATAATGTGTATACACACGCAATAGCCTGCTTTAACCGAAGGCGAATATTTAATTTCAATAATTTACGGAACGGTTACGGAATGGAAACGGAATATATAGTGAGAATCAACCTGTAGCTGGACGTAATAAGAGTATGGATGGGTCTTGATAATAGACGGCGTTCAATTGATTCATTTCTTGTATGGCATTTTTTTATGGTGGCTTAATTAGGATCGATTTCTGCAAACGGCGCTGCCACAGTTGGTACTAACAAGTATTCAGGAAAGTACTACATATACTAATAAAATCTATGCACAGTCAGATCAATAACTACGGGTTAATTAACCGTAACTTGAAAATTAATTTACGGGCAGTTGATAGTTTCATTCAAAGTTGAAGTTGGAAAGCCTAAAAGTTAACTTGCGGAAACATTAGACCTCAGCATATAAATTTACCCAAAGTGAAGAACTGTGACGAGAACGATCGGCCCTCCTCGCTACTTTCAGATTCTTCGTCTGATCCTCCTTGACCTAATGTTTGCCCAATCTCCGAACTGATGGCTGGCTGACTACCTCCAACACCTCCTATTTGCTGCTCTTCGCTCATGGCAGGTCCCACTCTTCTCTTAGGAGCGAATTGTTGGGCCACGTGGTTCACTACAAACTGACCATTGAGGAATTGGACGTCGTAGTTTTGGCCGGGGACTGTTTCGGGTTGGGCGAAGTTGATCCGCAGCTGAAGAAGAGATGTATCAAAAGTTAGAAAAAAACTGCTTGTGGAATATTTACAAACTTCATCGATTCAATGAAGCTATGTATGATCTTCAACCGAAAGGTGATTATGATGAACTCTTTTCCGAATGGTCTAAACTCTAATATGCAGCCAGTACGTAAAGTCAAGGCCGATTAACTTTAGTGGGTATTTGCTAAGAATGCAAATGATTCAGGAAATCAAAAAGAAATGTAGCACTTCGATTTTTGTAGAGGGAACTAAATTCTACCTTACCCTTCAGTTACGTTCATAAGGTAAGATGGACAAAGTGGTGGTCAGACCATAACGTTTGAAAAGTACACAAATCCGTTGTGACCTTTCTGCGGATTCTTGTGAAATCAGATTTATACAGAGCATTTCTGAATGTTGCGGGGAAAATTTAAGGACAGGTCCATCGCGCAAAATTCCCAATCTCCATAACACGGGGTATTATAATCGTAGATGGATAAATATGCTTTATTGTCTGAAAAATACAATAATTTTTAATGACAAAGCTAACCTAAAAATAAGCATTATTACATAATATGTGGATTTCAAGTAAATGAATTGATAAACTCACACATGTTATAGTATGGTTTACAAAGTTTTACAGTTCACGGCGAAATATTTTTAAATTGTTGATTCTTTTGAAAACATAATTGGGGCACATGTAAATTTTAAGACCATCATAAATGATTGAGACTGTCACAAGTGTTGATTTAGGTACTACTAATTTAAGACCTTATTTTGGTCTAATACCGTAACTTAGACGTTTTAAGTTGAGACTTATTTTTAAACTGTTTCAAAAATAAACAATGATACAACAGACATGATTTTTAGATTCAAAGATAAAGGTCTTTCTGTAGCTCAGATTGCTTTTAGTTATATATCTTTTTGTAAAATAAGCCCTTTTTTAAACAATTTTGGGAACTGACACACCAAAAGGGAATGGTATATCTCAAACTACTTTCAAATAAGTTAAAGTAACTGCTTAAGGCCGTGCCTTAGGGCCATATCGTCAGTCGTTCCTGCAATTGTAGGACGCCTTTATGGCCTCCTCGATTTTTATAGTTTTTTGCTCTTACGTGTCAGCGCTCTATATTGAGGTTATGTTACAGATTATACCGATGCGACACCTGCTGTCGGTCCCTTTGATCTTCGAGTCCCCAACTCCTTACCACATTTCCCGCTTATGTTCATTAGCGTTCCGAGGATCTTTTCCTAAGGGTTGTTACGCGTTATTAGCAAGACGTCACGAATGTCATATGTCAAACAACATAATCAAGGAATTTATTTGTGTTCATTTACTCACATGCATTTTTTCGAGAGAGTTATTATTATTTCTTAAAAAGCTAATTATATTTTTATATATGTATAGTATTGATAAAACTCAATGTTTTTGATAACCTCTAAATCCTAAATGTAAATAGGACTCAAGTTGGCGTTGATAGAACCTGATTTTTGACAGAGTGTCGCCTCTGTATAAGACTCTGTGGTTATGTTACAAAGACCGATCTGCATCAAATTGTTCATGCTTTTAACTTATATCATCTGTTATATAACCTGAAATTTCCTACAATTCCAGAAGGAAACATAGCCTGACAATAGGAAAGCGCTGTCGCTGACACGGAACCGTAAAAATCTAGAAATATCACAGACTTTCTGAATGAGAGGAAAGACTATGAAAATCAAGGAGGCCATGAACGCTTCCTACCATTGTAGGAACGACTGACGATTCGGCCCTTACACTATGTTGTAATTAATTGTTCTTATAATAAAGGAACTCTTCGACAGTTGAGTAAGCAATCGGTTTACATGATTAGTAAAATTTTATTTATGACCAATGATCAGTCCTAAACATTTGATGGTGTCTGTTTTGTGTTTTTATTCATATATTTGCTCGCCTTAATTTTTAACAAAAAATACTGCAAAACACTGATTTTTGTAAATATAAATTTCGATTTATCAAAACCGTATTGATTTTGCCTGGAATCAAACGTTGTGTTCATTAGCAAAGTGCCAGATATATATAATATAATAACGATGAGCAGACTGATGTCAGTCTTTGAGTAGAATGTGGCTCTAAGGCCCGATTCGACCGAGACTCGACCAATGAGAAGGCGTCTTTGAACCAATAGACTCAATAAATATGTTCTATTTTCTGTGTAATGTCTCGCAAGCTAGAGAAAAAATCATGAGATTTGTATGATTGTCATATTAAGTCAACAAATACTTCATATATCACATGGTTTTGCTGCAAAAACCTACTTTTTCATTTGTGTCTGGATGCAAAATTTGCGATCCAAACACAAATTCCACCAAATGAAAAGAAGGGTTTGCGTTATAGTTAAAAATTCGACTAATAAAAAAGCGCTTGTACCCTGCTCAAAACATGGATCAAACTTGATACAATAGATTGTTATGACAGCCATTATTGAACATTTTATTGAAAATAACGCTGTCATTACCTGCTTGAGAATTTGAAAAAGGCTATATTTATTACATTCCTTCCACATGTCCATTGGGGTTAGCTACAAAAACATATTTTTATAGGTTCGTTACAGGTCAGTCAAACTAGATCATTGATTTTGTCGTTGCTGAAGAAAATTCTGCTAAATATAATGTTTGAAGACATGCCTGAAATTACAGAATGGTTACTCTTTAACAAACATTGAGGAAATATTCGATTTTCTTGACTACTGTAGCCTGGAATACTGCTCATACTCGTTTGGGGTGCTTCCGCTTCGACTACATATCCATGACGAAATTGTGGAGCAATCTGTTCAAGGAGGCTTTCCCAGTTCTACTGACCTTAGGCGGTTTAAAAATCGGATTATGAAAGCGTCTTTAAGCTCGTTATTGCAGCGCGGTGCCTCGGTATTTAGCCTTCTGCCTACCCACCTGATTCGATATATACAGGGTGCGGCAGAGAGGATGGACGGTTTTAAAAAAATCATAAAATAGTTAATTTTTACTCGAAAACAAATTTATTGATGGAATCAGGTTCACAAGGAAACAGCATTTGAGACAGTCAAGAGTGGAAAATCACATCAGGCATGTGGTGGCCGAAATCGTTGATGCAGTGCTGGAGGCGCTCTTGGAAGTTTGCGTAGACTCTCTCCAACATCGGTCTCTCAACTTGGGCGACTTCCACGCGAATTTCGCCCTTCAATTCGTCCAGAGAAAAAGAAAAAATCGCATATGGATAAATCTGGGGACAGAGGAGGCCAATGAACATCGCCAAACCTGGAAATAAGGCGACCAGGGAAGAGAGGGCGAATAACGTCCATGGATGCTCGGGCTATGTGGGCGATCGCCCCATCCTGCTGGAACCACACACGTCGTATTGAAACACGTCGCCGTCGTAATTCAGGGAGAAAGAAGTTGGTGATCATGTCGACGTAGCGCTCTGAGTTCACGGTAACATCACGACCATTACCGTCTTCGAAGAAGTAAACGCCAATGATGCAAGTTTGCGATACAGCGCACCAAACCGTTACTTTTGGGCTGTGCAGCGATTTTTCGTGTAACTGTTGCGGATTTTCATTAGCCCAATAACGACAATTCTGCTGGTTAACCATGCTGTTTAGGTGAAAGTGGGCTTCGTCACTAATAAACAAAATGAGGTTCTCATTTTGATCGATCAGTGCTTCCATCTCACGTGCAAAGTTCATTCGTTGTGCATAATCTCCGGGCTGTAACTGTTGCACAATGGCCAATTTGTAGGGGTGAAAGCGGAGATCCATATGCAAAATTCGCCTTACCGAACGATCACTAAGGCGAAGTGCAGCAGCATGTTTCCGGGCAGATCGAGTCGGACTGCGAAGAAAGACCTGTCGAACGCGTTCAACATTTTCAGGAGTTCGAACTGTTCGCGGCGCTCCTATTGGTCTTCTGTTGATCAGTTCACCACGCCTGCGAAGTGATTCAACCCAACGAAGGATGGTGTTTCGAGAGGGAACAGCTCTATTCCGATGAATGTTCAAGTGGCGACGAAACTCACGCTGTACGACGATGACTGACTCATTATTTCGGACGAAACAATCATAGGCGAAAACGCGGTGCTCCACCGTCCAAGGCTCCATAACGACAACTGGTAAAATAATGCTAGGATCTCACGAGTCAAACGGCACCCTCCCCACCTCTCTCGTAGACGGAGGCGGAGAGTACTACCCATCCCAAAAACGTCCGTCCTCTCTGCCGCACCCTGTATAAAAAAACCTGGTGGTGTGTTGATTAACATTTAAGCGTTATTTCGTAATGAAACCTTAAATATGGTCACAAAGGGCTAAAGTAATGGTTGCTTCTTTGATCTATGAAGTTTAACTACAAATGACTTCAAACGTCGTTTACGTTATGTTTGTGGTCATCGCTAAATTTCTGTTTTGATTTCCTGGATCATTTGAATAAACCTTTTTCAATGAAACGTGTGTCTGTTGATGAGATGTGGATATTTAGTAAATATATAAGCTCAGAAAACAATCTCTTACGTTTCTATTGATCTGTCCTCCAGTCAGTAAGGGATGCATGGCAACCTGTGGCCTGGCTCTAGGTGTGGTAGGTGCAGGAGTTGTGATGATCCTTCCTTCGTGGTCATACTGATGAGCGTGGTGATGTTTGTGGTCCTTATGGGCCTTTCCAGCTGTCAGTGCTACGCTGTACAGCTGGAGCATGGTGACCTCTCCCAACATGCCACCAGATCCTATGATACAAAATAATATTTCTTACGATAATGCTAAAATAGAGTCATCCTAAAAAAAGTCAACAGGCCATGACATAAGTATCTTGTGCTCTTGTGCTATCTGTCAGTCTTTTAGAATAAACGCTATCATCCAATATTTAGCCTTGAAGATATACCAAACAATAAATCATGTTACAGAAGGTTCGGAAATCGCACAAAACTATTAAGGGTCCAATCTAGAAGATAGATGAGTTTGTTGTCCATGGTCAATAGATAATATCATTAAGATAAAGATCAAGATACAATCAAAGTTGAAATTGATTTCTTGTCACAATTGCGTTTACTGACTTCAACCACTCTAAGTTATAGATGGAAGTTCTCATAGGCTCAGTTATACAGGGTGGGGCATAAGTAGTGAACCGATTTGTCAAACTAATTGCTTGTTCTGTGGTGGGAGTAGGAAGTGGGGAGGGGTGTCATTGAGGGTGTTGCCTCGTCCAGTTTTCAGTTGATGCCATGATTTGGACAGGTGAGCATCGTTGCTTCGCTGTGCGGACGTTTTTGGAAATGGCCGTCCCATCATCGCCACGCAGCAAGCTATTCGCGTACATTTCAACATTCCGCGTAATGTTATAGTCCTTATCGGTAAGACAATTAGACGTTGGGTACGTACATTGGAAGAAACTGGATCCACCACAAGTCTTAACGCAACTGGAAGACCCACATATGTCACAACATCCGAAAATGTGATGGCTGTGAGGGCATCAGTTAAATTGTCACCAAGGCGCTCTGCTCGGAGGCATGCGCTTTCTTTGGATATGTCTGCTCGCCCTTTAAGGGGGATTCTGCATGGAGAACTGTCTCTCCATCCCTGTAAAATCGTATTTGATGACTGATAATCACACCAACCGTCTGAATTGTTGTCAAGAAATGCGTGAACGAATCTCCGAAACATCAAAAACATCAACTTTTTTCAGCGACAAGGCCCACTTTCTCCTCTCTGGGGCTGTCAATAAGCCTGATTCTTGTACTCTCTTCACTCATCTAAAGAGACTTTGTGGTGTGCGATGTCATTGGACCTTATTTTTTTGAGGACAATGGTCGAACAGTAACTGTCACAGCTGTCAATGCTGCAAAACTTTTTCAATTTAGGAGATCTATGGTTCCAACAAGATGTGGCCATATAACACGCACAGATCGAATTTCTATAGCGACATAGAGAAACATGTTTTGAGAGGTGACTTGGGATGGCCAGCGCGCTCGCCAGATTTAAGCATATGCGACTTTTTTCTGTGGAGGTTATTTGACCGAGAAAGTTTTTAAGCATCGCCCCTACACTTTACATAAGCTAATGACCTGAATGGTTGAGAAAACATCGACAATACTCCCAGAAATGTGTAAAAAGTAGCTCGAAACTTCAGAAGTAGACTACATCAGTGTAACACTGCTGAAGGCCACCATCTTGCTGAAGTTGGGCTCAAAACTAAATGAAAAAATGAGATTACATACAAATTATAATTAAAAAGTTTTGGGCCTGTAAGTTATTCAGTTTTTCTTTGATATCTCATCTAAACCGGGCCACCACTTCTGCCCCACCCTGTGCAATTTTCAGCTTTGAAGGTATACCGATCAACAAATCATAAGACGCAACATGTTGCAGAAAGTTCACTCAAATTTAGAACTTACACGGGTTATCCATGCTCAGCTGATAATATCGTTACGATAAGGATCTCGACCAAGATCCAATCAAAGGCAATCACGTTTATTTCACAATTATCTTCACTGACAACTACCATCATCTTAAGTTGCGCATGAAAGTACATTAAGCTGATAAGTCTCCAAGAAACAGAATACTATATTACTTTATTTTTGATGAGGAAATATGAGACTACAACCCATTCAAGTAAGAAACTGGCATAAATATTACCTTTAGGAGCACCTTTTCCTTCCTGGAAGCCACCTCCTAGCTGTGACTGTTCTTGACCTGTGATCGCAATACCTCCTCCTGGGATAGTATGTCCCACAAGCTGCAAAAGAGCATTCAATGTCAGCAGTAATTCTTAAAATAGATCAGATGATAGTAAGGGTTTTTGAATGATTCATTTTGGTTAGCTTAAGCTCACCTCATTTTCAGCTTGTCGAGAAACAGATTCAAAGAACTCAACTACGCAGTGCCTCAAGCGACCCAGAGAGGAATTTTAAGGGAGATTACAAAAAGAATGAAATGCTTGGCGATTGAAAACTGAAGAGTACGAGGGGGGTTTCATACTGTTGTAACTGTCGTTAGCACAGAGGTAACTACAGATCTACTGGGACAAGCGACGGACATACAGTGGATAAAGAATTGGTCCGAGTATAGAACCCTGAGGGTCGCATTATCAGCAAAGATTATTAATTGTTATATTTTTTCCCTATCATCGAGAAAATTCTTATCAGCTCTAAGACTTAAATGGAAAATCCCTTTAGTATCACATCTTGACAAATATCTCCTACCCGTTTTACATTTACAATAAATAATAACCGATTTCTCCATGACTTGAGTTCATGGCCAAATTTCAGAAGTATAAAAGGAAGTTGACGTTAAATAAATCCATGATGATATTCGTTAATTTTTTCACGAAATTAGAACTTGTTTTAATTTTTGGCAAATTGGACGTCAAATTCCATGGTGCCACCCTGGTTTTCCTTTCCATTATATTGAACTTTCAATTCAAGTATAGAACTTTTATAGAACTACAGTATCCAACCATATGGTTTCAGCTTATGAAATTCGCCTCAAAATAAAAATCATAAAAGACTTAAAAGCTCAACATGTTTCTAATAGAAATTTGTTGTATGGCTGGCAGAAGCAAGTTGTTGGTATTCTCGTTGAGCTTGGGGGTCCTGGTTACTCACCCCACTAGTTCAATTGCCTGTAAGTCCATATTATGCTAAGACCAAAGACCAAAATTATGCGAGTTACATCGACACACACATCTAGTAACATTGTAACTTTTCAAGAAAGCCATTTCAAATATTTGGCAATTTCGGTAACTTTGACCTTGATTAATGTAGTAATGTGGTGGCGTACAGTATATAGGGTGTGTTTTTAGTACAAGCTCGGTCGATAACTCCTAAAACAATATTCAAAAAAATTTAGTCAGCAGTATGCTCCTTACTTGAAAAATATTTCGATCTCTACAAGGTCATTTATAACTCGCCATTAACCTTAATCAGAAAAATTAATAAATAGTTCATTTTGCGTATAATATATAAAAAAAAATGAAAGCGTTACTAGACAGGGAGAAAATATTGGGTCATAACATTTGTTGACATAAAAATTCAGAACTTAGCTGAAAGATTAGTGCGAGTTGTCAAAGTTGGGTATTTTTTGTTTTAGATTGTCTTTAGATTATCCAGTATCTCAACAATTAAAAAAAAACCTTTAATAGGTTATATTATATTGCTATGTTTGAACTGCCTATCCAAATCTGCAATAACTGCTATCAATCGCCCAGTAGAAACAAAAATATCCGGCACGAATATCAGTCGAGTACTGCTGGCTACAATTTTTAATACGCTTATACTTGCTTGGTCTGTATGCATGGAACGGAATCCCTTTGAGCACAATTTTCACCAATTTCCAGAAGTTGGATTAATACGAAACTTTGCGCACGTATTAAGGACCGATGACAATGCAATAATTTGATAACAGTTTTCCACTATCCTTATTAGAGCTAGCGCACGATCTGCGCATGCGAGCTTCGGACTTACTCTTTGTTGGTTTGGGCACTCGGTACACCACAGCGGAGGCAGATACTTTTTAGTGTTCACAAAAAACTAATCGATAAATCTCGAAAACTAAAAAATGAAAAATACATAATAGTTTAAAAAAAACTAAGAAACACGCTTTTATAGTTAACCGAACTAATAAGTAGAAAATAATTTTTAATTACAAACAATAAATCATAATTAATGACCTTGAAATAAAGTTATAATAACATTTAAGTTAATAACAATAATTCAATTTAGAATAAAAAGCATGGGGTGCTTGACATATTAAATGTTACCGTCATTCTAACTAAACTCTGGGCGCTGAAGAAAGACATTAAACGTAAACAGTGATCAGCACGTGAACAGATCCCTCGAAAGCATCCACGGATATACTCCAGTCACTTTAGGTCTAAACATCCTCGGCAGTGTATTTCTAGTAAATCCACAGACCCTTTTTCGTGTCATCTTGAGACTAGAAAAAGGTTGACTGTTAAAATAAGTTACCTTGATCTTTCATGAGCTCCCAGTACAAAACATCATCGATATATTTTTGATGTAGGAACAACAAATTGGTTTAGAAAACATCCACTTTGAACCTAAATTGACTGGAGTAACATCGATCTACAGACAAATTCAAGGTCACTAGCAGTCGTCGGCGCTCTACGAATCTGCACAGGTTTGGACTTGTAAACGTGATTGTAGATGACACGACAGGCATCTAACAGTTAATTCACGCACAGGATTGCATTGCATACGCATTACGCATTCAGTAGCGTATACTCGTTTTTCGCGAGTGGAACGTTTTGTTTATATATTGCCTAAGATACGATGTCTGACACAGATACAGCCGACGAAGTGGTTGACATCAGCGCAACCCCACCCAAAAAAAGGGCTAAGAAGCTACATTTAAGTGCAAATGAAAAACAAATAATATCAAATATATACAAAAACCAAATTCAAGAAAAACCCGATTTGGTCGTGGACGAAGTTATATGTAAGGTAGCACATATTTCTGGAGTATGTCGGTCCAGTGTTTGTAGGATCATTAAGGAATATAGGAGCACTCACTCACTTTCTGAGCCAAAACCGTATCCTGCAAGAAAAAGGATAATGGACGGAGTAGATGACTTTGACAGAACTGCCATCAGGAGGAAAGTGCATAATTTTTTCTTCCGAAATGAGATACCTACAGTAGATAAGATACTAAGATTAGTTAATGCTGATGAGGATCTTCCATCATTTAAAAGAACCACATTCCGAAAACTTTTGAAGGAACTTAATTTTCGATTCTTGAAACGGGGAAGAAACAGTATGTTAATAGAGAAAGAAGAAATTGTTGTGTGGAGAAGGGAATACCTTAGGAAGATTCGGAAGTTTCGCGATGAAAAAAGAAAAATTTACTATTTGGACGAAACGTGGGTGAATGCTGGACATACTCAAGCGAAAGTTTGGGTCGACAAATCAGTAACATCATCAAGGCAGGCTTTTCTAGACGGTCTTTCGGCTGGATTGAAAAATCCTGCAGGTAAGCTCCTTCATCTATCCGGCAATTTAATTTTGATAAATTCGGGCAAATACGTAGTCATGCCATAAGTTCTGTCCCTCGTTTTCAAACAAGTGTAGACCTGTTAATACTTGTCCGATTGTTTACATTGTGGTGTCAGTTGATTAAGCGCTTTTCGGGTAATTACATATACCTCAGTTTGTATTGATCTCTCGAAGCATAACGATGGAGTGGGGCAAGGCAGAGAACCGTATTGCAGTGATAGCTTTACATAAGTGTAATCACAGTGCTAGTCAGATTTTTGAACTCTTACGCGGCCTTCAAATATCGCGTAAATTTGTGTCTAGGACCATTCAGCGGTACAATGAGACGTCCTCTGTTGATGACAGGCCAAGAAGCGGAAGACCTCGTCAAGTAAGGACTCCAGCAGCCATCAAAGCCGTAAAAGCCAGGATTCAAAGGAATCCACTCCGGAAGCAGAAGATCCTATCCAGGGAAATGAAGATTCCTGTCCGGACGATGTCGCGCATCATTAAACAAGACCTACGGCTAGGGGCTTACCGGAGACGTACGGGCCAGCGACTTACGGCCACCTTGCGACACATCAGGGCGACAAGATCCAAGAAGCTCTTGGAGAGGTACGCAGCTGGGGGATTCCGAAAGATTTTGTTCACGGATGAGAAAATCTTCACCATAGAAGAAAAATTCAACCGACAAAATGACAAAGTGTATGCAAGGAGTTCACAGGAAGCTTCGGAGATCATTCCGAGAGTTGAGAGAGGCCACCACCCTGCGTCAGTCATGGTTTGGTGGGGGGTGTCCTACGAAGGGGTCACTCAGCTCCATTTCTGTAAACAGGGCGTGAAAACAAAAGCGGCAAACTATCAGAGCGACATACTGGATCCTATCGTCAAGCCTTTAAGTGGTACATTGTTTGCCAACCAACACTGGGTCTACCAGCAGGATTCCGCCCCCGCTCACAAGGCTAAGAGTACGCAGCGCTGGCTGGAAAGCAATGTGCCAGAGTTCATTGCTGCGGAAGATTGGCCCTCAGGGAGTCCGGACCTCAATCCTTTAGACTACAAGTTGTGGGACCTGCTAGAGCAGTTGGCCTGCTCCAAAGCCCACCGTAATATCGAGTCCCTGAAAGCGGATTTGATCCGATCAGCGCAGCTATTCCTTTGGAAGCTGTGCGTGCAGTGATAGATGAGTGGCCCGCGAGATTGAAGCAGTGTGTGAAGGCCAAGGGGGGACATTTTGAATAAAACTGTTTGATTATGAATTCTAAAAATGTTGTCGAATAAATAATATCTTTCATATAAATATATCTTATCTTGTTTCATTTTTATCATGAGATTATCATGGGACAGAACTTATGGCACGACTACGTAATATGCTGTGATAGCAGATAATGTGTGATATTCTCCAAAAATGGTGCATTCGCAGTGTAGTCATTAGGAAAAAAACTTCGACCCTCTTTTAAGCGTTATTTTGAAATTTATTATCATTTTTGGGTGCAGTCAATTTGCTTTGAATGGGTTTTGAGAAGTTGCAAACTTCAATTTTCTACGTTTTTCAGTTTTTGATCAGCATTCCATGACTCTTAAATTCAGCTAAATGAACTCAATTGCCTAATTCCTTCAAATTTAATCACTCCATAGTGTAAGGAATAATTTATTTCCAGGAAAAGGCAAACGGCTGATCATTTGTCACGTAAGTAGTGAAGACGGCTTTGTTCCCGAAGCACTGTGGGCCTTTGAATCAAAAAAGACAGGGGACTATCATGAGGAGATGGACGGCAATTCCTTTGAAAATTGGTTCTCCAAAATGTTACTAAAGCTGGAGAATAACGCTGTTATTGTACTGGATAATGCCCCGTACCATTCTAGAAAAATAGAAAAAATTCCCACAATGGCAACTAAAAAAGCAAACATACAACAATGGCTGGCCTCAAAACAGATCGATTTTGATGAAACAATGGTCAAGGGTGAATTGATAAGTATAGTCAATAGACATAAATACAAATACGATTTTAAAATGA